TGTATCTCTACGGGTCTCTATGTATCTATATGTATCTCTATGTATCTCTACGGGTCTCTATGTATCTCTATGTATCTCTATGGGTCTCTATGAGTGTCTATGTATCTCTATGTATCTCTATGTATCTCTATGTATCTCTATGTGTCTCTATGTATCTCTATGTATCTCTATGTATCTCTACGGGTCTCTATGTATCTCTACGGGTCTCTATGTATCTCTACGGGTCTCTATGTATCTCTATGTATCTCTATGGGTCTCTATGTATCTCTATGTATCTCTATGTATCTCTATGAGTGTCTATGTATCTCTATGTATCTCTATGTATCTCTATGTGTCTCTATGTATCTCTATGTATCTCTATGTATCTCTATGTATCTCTATGTATCTCTATGGGTCTCTATGTATCTCTATGTATCTCTATGTGTCTCTATGTATCTCTATGTATCTCTACGGGTCTCTATGTATCTCTATGTATCTCTATGGGTCTCTATGTATCTCTACGGGTCTCTATGTATCTCTATGGGTCTCTGTGTATCTCTATGTATCTCTATGTGTCTCTATGTATCTCTATGGGTCTCTATGTATCTCTATGTGTCTCTATGTATCTCTATGTATCTCTATGTATCTCTACGGGTCTCTATGTATCTCTATGTATCTCTATGTATCTCTATGTATCTCTATGTATCTCTATGTGTCTCTATGCATCTCTATGTATCTCTATGTATCTCTACGGGTCTCTATGTATCTCTACGGGTCTCTATGTATCTCTACGGGTCTCTATGTATCTCTATGTATCTCTATGTATCTCTATGGATCTCTATGTATTTCTATGTATCTCTACGGGTCTCTATGTATCTCTACGGGTCTCTATGTATCTCTACGGGTCTCTATGTATCTCTACGGGTCTCTATGTATCTCTACGGGTTTCTATGTATCTCTATGTATCTCTATGTATCTCTATGTATCTCTATGTGTCTCTATGTATCTCTATGGGTCTCTATGGGTCTCTATGTGTCTCTATGTATCTCTACGGGTCTCTATGTATCTCTACGGGTCTCTATGTATCTCTACGGGTCTCTATGTATCTCTACGGGTCTCTATGTATCTCTACGGGTCTCTATGTATCTCTACGGGTCTCTATGTATCTCTACGGGTCTCTATGTATCTCTATGTATCTCTATGAGTCTCTATGTATCTCTATGTATCTCTATGTATCTCTATGTATCTCTATGAGTCTCTATGTATCTCTATGTATCTCTATATATCTCTATGTATCTCTATGTTTCTCTATGTATCTCTATATATCTCTACGGGTCTCTATGTATCTCTATGTGTCTCTATGTATCTCTATGTATCTCTATATATCTCTATGTATCTCTATGTTTCTCTATGTATCTCTATATATCTCTACGGGTCTCTATGTATCTCTATGTGTCTCTATGTATCTCTATGTATCTCTATGTATCTCTATGTTTTTCTATGGGTCTCTATATATCTCTATGTATCTCTATGTGTCTCTATGGGTCTCTATGTATCTCTACGGGTCTCTATGAGTGTCTACGGGTCTCTATGTATCTCTATGGGTCTCTATGTATCTCTATGGGTCTCTATGTATCTCTATGGGTCTCTATGTATCTCTACGGGTCTCTATGTATCTCTACGGGTCTCTATGTATCTCTACGGGTCTCTATGTATCTCTATGGGTCTCTATGTATCTCTATGGGTCTCTATGTATCTCTACGGGTCTCTATGTATCTCTATGTATCTCTATGTATCTCTATGTATCTCTATGTATCTCTATGTTTTTCTATGGGTCTCTATATATCTCTATGTATCTCTATGTATCTCTATGGGTCTCTATGTATCTCTACGGGTCTCTATGTATCTCTACGGGTCTCTATGTATCTCTATGGGTCTCTATGTATCTCTATGGGTCTCTATGTATCTCTATGGGTCTCTATGTATCTCTACGGGTCTCTATGTATCTCTACGGGTCTCTATGTATCTCTATGTATCTCTACGGGTCTCTATGTATCTCTATGGGTCTCTATGTATCTCTATGTATCTCTATGTATCTCTATGTATCTCTATGGGTCTCTATGTATCTCTATGGGTCTCTATGTATCTCTACGGGTCTCTATGTATCTCTATGTATCTCTATGTATCTCTATGTATCTCTATGTATCTCTATGTTTTTCTATGGGTCTCTATATATCTCTATGTATCTCTATGTATCTCTATGGGTCTCTATGTATCTCTACGGGTCTCTATGTATCTCTACGGGTCTCTATGTATCTCTATGGGTCTCTATGTATCTCTATGGGTCTCTATGTATCTCTATGGGTCTCTATGTATCTCTACGGGTCTCTATGTATCTCTATGTATCTCTACGGGTCTCTATGTATCTCTATGGGTCTCTATGTATCTCTATGTATCTCTATGTATCTCTATGTATCTCTATGGGTCTCTATGTATCTCTATGTATCTCTATGGGTCTCTATGTATCTCTATGTATCTCTATGTATCTCTATGGGTCTCTATGTATCTCTATGTATCTCTATGAGTGTCTACGGGTCTCTACGGGTCTCTATGTATCTCTATGTATCTCTATGTATCTCTATGTATCTCTATGAGTCTCTATGTATCTCTACGGGTCTCTATGTATCTCTATGGGTCTGTGTGGGTCTCTATGATTCTCTACGGGTCTCTATGGGTCTCTATGTATCTCTACGGGTCTCTATGTATCTCTATGGGTCTCTATGTATCTCTATGGGTCTCTATGAGTGTCTATGTATCTCTATGTATCTCTATGTATCTCTATGTATCTCTATATATCTCTATGTATCTCTATGTATCTCTATGTATCTCTATGTGTCTCTATGTATCTCTATGTATCTCTATGTATCTCTATGGGTCTCTATGTATCTCTATATATCTCTATGAGTCTCTATGTATCTCTATGTATCTCTATGATTCTCTATGGGTCTCTATGGGTCTCTATGAGTGTCTATGTATCTCTACGGGTCTCTATGAGTGTCTATGTGTCTCTGTGGTACCTTGAGGTTTGGACTGTGCCACGACCTGCAGCAGTGAGGCAGCTTGTCCCCCGCTGCCTCTCGGCCCCCCCCACTGGCCCCCTCCCCCCTCCCCTCCCCACCCCCCCTCCTGCTGCCCCCCCCACCCCCACCCCTCCTGCTGCCCCCCCCACCCCCACCCCTCCTCCTGCTGCTGCTCCTCCCACGAGTGAGGAGGCGGCCCTCAGAAGCACCTGCAGAGGGGGGAGGGGGGGAGGGGGGGAGGGGGGGGAGGGAGAGGGAGGGAGGAGGGGGAGGGAGGGGTGGGTGGAGAGGGGGAGGGAGGAGTGAGGGTGGAGAGGGGGAGGGGGAGGGGAGAGGGGGGGGAGGGGGGGGAGGGGGGGGGGGAGGGGGGGGAGGGAGAGGGGGGAGAGGGAGGGGTGGGGGGAGGGAGGAGGGGGATAGGGAGAGGGGGGAGGGGGGGAGGGAGAGGGGGAGGGGGGGGAGGGGGAGGGGGGGTGGGTGTAGAGGGGGGAGTGAGGGGGGAGGGGGAGGGAGGAGGGAGGGGTGGGGGGAGGGGGAGGGAGGGGTGGGGGGAGGGAGGAGGGAGGGAGGGGGAGGGAGGGGTGGGGGGAGAGGGGGGAGGGAGAGGGGGGGGAGGGAGGGGTGGGGGGAGGGAGGAGGGGGATAGGGGGAGGGGGGAGGGGGGGAGGGAGAGGGGGAGGGGGGGGAGGGAGGGGTGGGTGGAGAGGGGGAGGGGGGAGGGGAGAGGGGGAGGGGAGAGGGGGGGAGGGGGAGGGGGGGGAGGGGGGGAGGGAGAGGGGGGGGAGGGAGGGGTGGGGGGAGGGAGGAGGGGGATAGGGGGAGGGGGAGGGGGGGAGGGGAGAGGGGGGGAGGGGGAGGGGGGGGAGGGGGGGAGGGAGAGGGGGGGGAGGGAGGGGTGGGGGGAGGGAGGAGGGGGATAGGGGGAGGGGGAGGGGGGGAGGGAGAGGGGGAGGGGGGGGAGGGGGAGGGGGGGTGGGTGTAGAGGGGGGAGTGAGGGGGGAGGGGGAGGGAGGAGGGAGGGGTGGGGGGAGGGGGAGGGAGGGGTGGGGGGAGGGAGGAGGGAGGGAGGGGGAGGGAGGGGTGGGGGGAGAGGGGGGACGGGGGGAGGGAGAGGGGGGAGGTGAGAGTTCAGAGTTCAGACCTCTTGAGGTTGACCCCTGGGCGTTGAGTGGCCTGGCCACGTGCCGTGACTCACCACCACCACCGCCCTCCTCCTCCTCCTCCTCCTCCACCTCCTCCACCCGCACCGTGACGTCTCCGCCGTCGCCGGGGGCCGCCTCCCCATCGTCGCCGCCCTCACCGTCCACGTTGGACTCCTTGAGGCCTTCCCACCGGCCACCGGCCCCGTCCCTCGCCGCCGACCGACGCCTCTCCGGCGGGCCGTCCCCCGGGCCTACGCTGGGCTCCCCGGAGCCCTCCCTGACGGAACGCCGCACCCGGCCTCCAGCCGCCCCTCCCAGGAGGCTGTCATGGCTGTCCCGGCCAGGACGGCTGTCCCAGCCAGGACGGCTGTCCCGGCCGTCCCGGCCGTCCCGGCCGTCCCTCGGGCCTACGCTGGGCTCCCGGGAGCCCTCCCTGACGGAACGCCGTACACCGCCTCCAGCCGCCCCTCCCAGGAGGCTGTCCCGGCCAGGACGGCTGTCCCGGCCGTCCCGGCCGTCCCTCGGGCCTACGCTGGGCTCCCGGGAGCCCTCCCTGACGGAACGCCGTACACCGCCTCCAGCCGCCCCTCCCAGGAGGCTGTCCCGGCTGTCCCAGCCAGGACGGCTGTCCCGGTCAGGACGGCTGTCTCGGCCAGGACGGCTGTCCAGGCCGGGGCCTGGGCCGGCCTCCTCGGTCCCCTCGGACTGGCGGACGGAATGGCGCCTGGAGGACCGGCGGCCGTCTCCTCCACCTCCTCCACTCCCTCCTCCTCCACCTCCTCCACCTCCTCCTCCTCCTCTACCTCCTCCAACGCTTCCTGCTCTACCTCCTCCGAGGAGGAGGAGGCTGTCCCTCGGGCCTACGCTGGGCTCCCGGGAGCCCTCCCTGACGGAACGCCGTACACCGCCTCCTGCCGCCGCTCCCAAGAGGCTGTCCCGGCTGTCCCAGCCAGGACGGCTGTCCCGGTCAGGACGGCTGTCCCAGCCAGGACGGCTGTCCCGGTCAGGACGGCTGTCCCGGTCAGGACGGCTGTCCCGGTCAGGACGGCTGTCCCCGTCAGGACGGCTGTCCCCACTGTAGCCTGGGCAGGTCCCCTCGGACTGGCGGACGGAACGGCGCCTTGAGGACCGGCGGCCGTCTCCTCCACCTCCTCCACTTCCTCCTCCTCGTCCTCCTCCTCCTCCTCCTCGTCCTCCTCCTCCTCCAAGGCTGTCCCGGCTATGCCCGAGGCCGAGGTCATCGCTGACGGCCCCGCTCCGGTGCCGGGGGGAGTCGGGTCGCGGCGGGAGGCTGAGGGGGTCCGAGCGGCGCTTGAGAGAGACGCGGCTTGGACGCTCGCCCCTCGGGGCTGATGGGGGCGGGGGGGGGTAAGACAGAAGAGGTGGAGATGACGTGGAGGAGAAGGAGTGGAAGGCACGGGGTCGGGGGTGGGCGGGGGAAACAGACGAGGTGAAGATGAGGGGGGTTTCTGTGTGGGGGTCACCGTCCTTGTTCCCCCTAGGGATGTCGATAGGCACGGCGCTGCAGGTTACTTTATTTAGATGGAATTAAAGACGCTGATGTTCCATTACAGGAGTCCGACACCTGTACAGAGATGCTCTACAAACCTACAGGCCAGTTCGTGGCTGGAGTGGGAGACCGGATCACCGTCCTTTTTCCCCTGAGGATGTCGATAGGCACGGCGCTGACGGTTACTTTATTTAGATGGAATTAAAGACGCTGATGTTCCATTACAGGAGTCCGACACCTGTACAGAGATGCTCTACAAACCTACAGGCCAGTTCGTGGCTGGAGTGGGAGACCGGATCACCGTCCTTTTTCCCCTGAGGATGTCGATAGGCACGGCGCTGACGGTTACTTTATTTAGATGGAATTAAAGACGCTGATGTTCCATTACAGGAGTCCATCCACCTGTATAGAGATGGTCTACAAACCTACAGGCCAGTTCGTGGCTGGGGTCGGAGACCGGATCACCGTCCTTGTTCCCCCGAGGGATGTCGATAGGCACGGCGCTGACGGTTACTTTATTTAGATGGAATTAAAGACGCTGATGTTCCATTACAGGAGTCCAACACCTGTACAGAGGTGTTCCACAAACCTACAGGCCAGTTTCTGGGTGGGTTGGGAGATCGGATCATCGTCCTTTTTCCCCCTAGGGATGTCGATAGGCACGGCGCTGCAAGTTACTTTCTGTTGATGGAATTAAAGACGCTGATGTTCCATTACAGGAGTCCAACACCTGTACAGAGATGCTCTACAAACCTACAGGCCAGTTCGTGGCTGGGGTCGGAGACCGGATCACCGTTATTATTCCCCTAGGGATGTCGATAGGCACGGCGCTGACGGTTACTTTATTTAGATGGAATTAAAGACGCTGATGTTCCATTACAGGAGTCCAACACCTGTACAGAGATGCTCTACAAACCTACAGGCCAGTTCGTGGCTGGAGTGGGAGATCGGATCATCGTCCTTTTTCCCCTGAGGATGTCGATAGGCACGGCGCTGCAGGTTACTTTATTTAGATGGAATTAAAGACGCTGATGTTCCATTACAGGAGTCCATCCACCGGTATGGAGGTGTTCCACAAACCTACAGGCCAGTTCGTGGCTGGGGTGGGAGACCGGATCACCGTCCTTTTTCCCCTGAGGATGTCGATAGGCACGGCGCTGACGGTTACTTTATTTAGATGGAATTAAAGACGCTGATGTTCCATTACAGGAGTCCAACACCTGTACAGAGATGCTCTACAAACCTACAGGCCAGTTCGTGGCTGAGGGTGGGAGATTGGATCACCATCCTTGTTCCCCCTAGGGATGTCGATAGGCACGGCGCTGCAAGTTACTTTATTTAGATGGAATTAAAGACGCTGATGTTCCATTACAGGAGTCCATCCACCGGTACGGAGGTGTTCCACAAATTCGCAGGCCAGTTCGTGGCTGGGGTGGGAGATCGGATCTCCGTCCTTTTTCCCCCTGAGGATGTCGATAGGCACGGCGCTGACGGTTACTTTATTTAGATGGAATTAAAGACGCTGATGTTCCATTACAGGAGTCCATCCACCGGTACGGAGGTGTTCCACAAACCTACAGGCCAGTCCCTGCCACCACTGACACCCACCTCTGCGAGCCCGTCTTCCACCACCACCACCACCACCGGCGTCACCGTCGTCGCCGCTATTGCCACTGCTTGATGTTGTGGTGGTGCCGGTGCCGGTGCAGGCGGTGCCGGCGGTGCGGCGGTCGCCCATCGGTGGTCTGGGCGCTCGGCGCTGTGACGAGGAGTGGCGGTGGCCCAGAGCAGCGTCGCCACCGCCGCCACCACCAACACCACCACCACCACCAGCAACACCACCACCACCACTACCGCTAACAACACCACCAGCAGCAACACCAGCAGCAACACCACCAACACCACCACCAACACCACCAGCAACACCACCAGCAGCAACACCACCACAACCACCACCACCACCAACACCACCAACACCACCAGCAACACCACCACCACCACCACCAACACCACCAACACCACCAGCAACACCACCAGCAGCAACACCACCACCACCACTACCGCTAACAACACCACCAGCAGCAACACCACCACCACCACTACCGCTAACAACACCACCAGCAACACCACCACCACTACCGCTAACAACACCACCAGCAACACCACCACCACCACTACTACCGCTAGCAACACCACCAGCAACAACAACACCACCACCACCACCACCAACACCACCACCACCACCGTCACCACGTCCACCCATCACCGCGTCTCCGTCGCTCTCCGGGCCTCCACCGTGGGGCCTCATCCCGGGGGACCACATGGGCACCGAGGGGATAGCGGTGGAGGGGGGCAGCTCCACCGCGTCCCCACGGCGGAGCTCCGCGGCGGGGCTCCCTGGCGGAGCTCCGTGGCGGAGGGGCTCCGAGGTGGTGTTGTTGTTGATGTTGTTGATGTTGTTGTTGATGTTGATGTTGTTGTTGTTGTTGATGTTGTTGTTGTTGAGGTTGGTCGAGAGCAGAGACATCACCTGGTGACGTCGAGGCAAACAACAGGGCCACCGTGAGGCCCACGCACTACACTGTACACTACACCGTACACTACACTGTACACCAGTACACCACACACAACACTGTACACTACACACTACCACACTGCACATTGCACTGTACCCCGCTACACTGTACACTACACTGTACACTACGCACTACCACACCACACACTACACTGTACACTACACACTACTACACTGCACACTACACTGTACACTACACTGTACACCACACCGCACACAACACTGTACACCAGCACACTATACTGTACACTACACACTACCACACTACCACACTGCACATTGCACTGTACCCCGCTACACTGTACACTACACTGTACACTACGCACTACTACACCACACACTACACTGTACACTACACACCACCACACTACACCGTACACTACACTGCACACTACACTGTACACCACACTGTACCCTACACTGTAAACTGCACTGTACACTACGCTATACACTACAATATACACTACACTACTATACACTACACTGTACACTACACTGTACACTAACTACACTGTACACTACTATACACTACACTATACACTACACTATACACTACACAGTGCACTATACACTACACTACTGTACACTACACTGCTATACACTACACTATACACTACACTATACACTACACCACTATACACTACACTATACACTACACTACTATCCACTACACTATACACTTACTACTATACTCTACACTATACACTACACTATACACTACACTGTACACTACACTACTATACACTACACTATACACTACACTACTGTACACTACTATACACTACACTATACGACTATAAACTACACTATACACTACTATACACTACACTACTACACTATACACTACTATACACTATACTATACACTACACTGTACACCACACTATACACTACACTATATACAACACTATACACTACACTATACACTACAATATACACTACACTATACACTACTATACACTACACTATACACTACACTACTGTACACTACTATACACTACATTACTATGCACTACACTGTACACTGCACTATACACTACACTATACACTACACTATACACTACTATAAACTACACTATACACTACACTACTATACACTACACTATACACTACTACACGACATACTACACCACTACACTACTACTACACTACTACACTACTACTACACTACTATTACACTACACTACTACTACACTACTACACTACTACTACTACACTACATAATACACTACTACTACACTACTACTATACTACTACTACACTACTACTACACTACTACTACAACACTACTACTACACTACTACAACACTACTACTACACTACTACACTACTACTACACTACTACTACACTACTACTACTACACCACTACTACTACACCACTACTACTACACTACTACTACACCACTACTACTACACTACTACACTACTACTACACTACTAATACACTAGTACTACTACTACACTAGTACTACTACTACTACACTACTACTACACTACTACTACTACACTACTACTACACTACTACTACACTACTACTACACCACTACTACTACACTACTACTACTATACTACTACACTACTACTACACTACTACTACACTACTACTACTACAATACTACTACTACACTACTACTACACTGCTGCTACTACACTACATACTACTACTACACTACTACTACTACTACACTACTACTACTACACTACTACTACTGCTACTACACTACTACTACTACACTACTACTACTACACTATTACTACACTACTACTACACTACTACTACTACACTACTACTACTACACTACTACTACTACACTACTACTACTACACTACTACACTACTACTACTACAATACTACTACTACACTACTACTACACTACTACTACTGCTACTACACTACATACTACTACTACACTACTACTACAATACTACTACTACACTACTACACTACTACTACTACACTACTACTACACTACTACTACTGCTACTACTACTACTACACTATTACTACACTACTACTACACTACTACTACTACACTACTACTACTACACTATTACTACACTACTACTACACTACTACTACTACACTACTACTACACTACTGCTACTACACTACTACTACACTACATACTACACTACTACTACTACTACAACACTACTACTACATATTACACTACATACTACACTACATACTACGCCGCAGCCAACAGGAATGTCACTCGGCCACTCACCACCATCACAACAACAACCTCCATCACAACAACAACAACAATCATCACAACCATTACCATCACAACAACAACAACCACCATCACAACCACCATTACCATCACAACAACCATCACCACCATTACCATCACAACCACCATTACCATCACAACAACAACAACCACCATCACAACCACCATTACCATCACAACAACCATCACCACCATTACCATCACAACAACAACAACCACCATCACAACAACAACAACCATCACAACCACCATCACACCAACAACAACCATCACCACCATTACCATCACAACAACCATCACCATCATCACAACAACAACCACCATCACCAAACAACAACCATCACCACCACAAACAACAACCATCACCACCACAACAACAACCACCATTACATCACCACCATAACAACCATCACGATTATATCATCACCATTACACTATCATCACTATTACCAGCATCACCTCCACCACCACCATTACCACTACACCATCACCACTATTACCACCATCACCACCACCACAACATTCACCATTACATCATCACCACCACCACCACTACACCATCACCAGTACACCACTACATCACCACCACTACATCACCATCACCACTACATCACCACCATCACCATCACCACTACATCACCATCACCACCACCATCACCACCACTACATCACCATCACCACCACTACATCACCACTACATCACCACCACCACTACATCATCACCATCACCACTACATCACCACCACCATCACCACCACCAACATCACCACCACCATCACCACCATCACCACTACATCACCACCACTACATCACCACCACCAACATCACCACCACCATCACCACCATCACCACTACATCACCACCACTACATCACCACCATCACCACCATCACTACATCACCATCACCACCACCAACACCACCACTACATCACCACCACCACCACTACATCACCACCACCACCACCACTACATCACCACCACCACTACATCACCATCACTACATCACCATCACCACTACATCACCACCATCATCACCACTACATCACCACCACCACTACACCATCACTACATCACCACCACCATCACCACTACATCACCACTACATCACCACCATCACCACCACCACCACTACACCATCACTACACCACGACTACATCACCACCATCACCACCACTACACCACCACCACCACCATCACCTGTCCACACCTGAGCTATATCCGGGGTGTTCAGCTTGAGTAGCTCGCCCCGCGCTACCTGGGATCCGGATCTCAGCTGTGTCTGTGCTGTTGTGTTGAGGGTGTGACTGTCTGTCTGTGTGTATGTGACTGTGTGTGTGTATCACTGTGTGTGACTGTGTATCACTGTGTGTGTGTGACTGTGTGTGTGTGTGACTGTGTGTGTGTCACTGTGTGTGTGTGACTGTGTGTGTCACTGTGTGTGTATCACTGTGTGTGTGTCACTGTGTGTGTGTCTGTGTGTGTATCACTGTGTGTGTGTCACTGTGTGTGTGTGTATCACTGTGTGTGTGTCACTGTGTGTGTGTGTGTGTCACTGTGTGTGTGTGTCACTGTGTGTGTGTGTCACTGTGTGTGTGTCACTGTGTGTGTGTCACTGTGTGTGTGTCTGTGTGTGTGTGTCACTGTGTGTGTGTGTGTCACTGTGTGTGTGTTACTGTGTGTGTGTCACTGTGTGTGTGTGTCACTGTGTGTGTGTGTGTCACTGTGTGTGTCTGTGTGTGTCACTGTGTGTGTGTGTGTCACTGTGTGTGTGTGTGTCACTGTGTGTGTGTCACTGTGTGTGTCTGTGTGTGTCACTGTGTGTGTGTGTGTCACTGTGTGTGTGTGTGTCACTGTGTGTGTGTGTCACTGTGTGTGTGTCTGTGGGTGTGTCACTGTGTGTGTGTCTGTGTGTGTGTGTGTCACTGTGTGTGTGTCACTGTGTGTGTGTCACTGTGTGTGTGTCTGTGTGTGTGTGTCACTGTGTGTATCACTGTGTGTGACTGTGTATCACTGTGTGTGTGTAT